ATATAGCTTCCTCGAAAATTAATTTTCCATTTAAGGGTAGAGTTCATGTTCATCGAAATTGTCCCACTATAAAAATCTGACAACTATAAATTTTTTCCTTATCAATATATTGTTTAAAGTACTCAAATAAGTCATATGAATAGAAGTTTATTCAAATGTCATATAATGTTCTTCTATTAGTTTACACCAACTATCAAATGATCATAGAGATATCTATAATCCTTCAAACTCTATACTATATTTAATTTGGGGCATACTGCAACAAAACCAGACAAAGTGAACATTACAATATTACTAAATGTTATTAACAGCAAAATACACACAATGTGGGGTCGCCAGCAAATATTATATTATTTAGGGTCACATGAAAAGGACAGTGAATGGGTTCATCCCTTTTTCAACATCCCAATATTTTAATAATCATGTACATATTTTAAATTATATAAAATTTTCAAATGAAAAAAATTTCACCCATGAATAGTTATCAAAGAAATTTTCTTATTTTATAAATCAATCCATTTAAAGTAGAACTTAGTCTTAAAAAATCAGATATACTAGAATATATATACTGTATTTTGAAATCTAAAACCAAATCTATAATATTAATAAAAAAATAATATGTATATAATATTAATTAGCAAAAATATCTTTTATTGCCCAAACAATTAAATCTTTTGGGAGTGTGGAAAGAAGGACGAGACATATTAATCCTGGAAGGTGGTATCTGATCGTATTTATTCTGGTACATATGACGATAGCTAGTGATGCAAAATTCTGCAGACTTAACAACAATACTCTGTTTATGCGATAAAACACACCCAATAAAAAGCCTCTCTTTTTTTTTATCATACATATTATGAATGCCTAGGATAAACAGAATAAACTGATATATTTTGACACAAAACATCCAGATGAATGGTCACTAATTGGATTCCTCATGTGGCGATCACAGTTCTCAGATTTTTCAAACAAGACCAATGAACATGGTGCTTTCTTTGGCTTTTTAAGAATATTTCTAAAGGTGTGGGAGCTGGAGCCAAAAAGGCAGCACAAATTTTGGAAGATTGGCAGGTCAGAAATAAACTTCTTTTTCTATTATTATTTATTAAGTCTGTGATAGGCCAGGCAACTGGTAGACCGATGTGTTATTTCTGCTACAACACTAGTGGACTGAAGAGTTGCACAGTGACAACTGAAGAGTTTAGTGGTAGTTTATCAACAGATTATGCAGTGTTACTATTGACAAGCCAAGAGCCCATCAAAAATGGTAGTGTTTCTTGGTAGACTGACGTGTTATTGCAGCCGCACACTAGTGAACAGAATTGTTACGCAGTGTTTGACTGAAGATGTCATGCTGTTGTTTGTCAATAGTGCCTGCAGTTTATTGTCATTGTCATAAGGTTACTAATGATTGTTTAAAATTTTATGACTTATAAGAATGTGAAAAGCTCTGCAGAGGTTAAAAACTTCTGGGAAAATAACATAGTTTCACAACATAGAAGAAAAATTTGGACAATAGAGTCTTCTGATGTAAGTTCCTTTTGATGTTGCATCTATCATTCATTTAAGGGTAGGGTAAATCACGTGTCAATTTATATGTAGATCCGGGCTCAAAAATCCAAATTACATAGATAAGTTACGCGAAACGCGTCAAAATTTTGTTGCAATCAGATTGCCAGGGTAATTTTTATATTATTTGGACTTGTAGATTTCTTTTGACTCTTGATGTAACTAGGCAGCAAGAAAGAACATAAAGGAATCCAAATCATTGATCAGGGATTTGTGGAGCACAGTTAAGGATGATGTCATCATTTTGAAAGTGTATTATGCAGTGTAAGTCATATTTTACAATCTTACAATAACCTTGTTAGGCTTGTTTGAAAACAAAAATCAATATTTAACACACATTTTCATTTCTCTGCAATATCACAGTTTAAATCAGCTTTCTTTTAACAAGAAGTGTAAATAATCTAAATGAAGATACATTTTCTCATAATCACATTACACCATTGCTCTCATCAATATTCAGTAATACTGAATTGCTTGAATGTGAATGGTAATTATCTTTTCTATGGTTTTCTTTTTCTTCAAATGTTATAATATCATTTTATTAACTAGAAATGTTAGGTCCAATAATGAATTGAATGCTTCATCATATCGAAAACAAAAATTTGACCCTTG